AAGTTCATAAATACAGCCAAAAAACCCAGCTGTATTAGTTTTCTTGTGAATTTTGAATTCTAGTCTTTATTTTGTTTAAAAAAGCAGGAGCTCATGGGGCATGGGCTCCTGAAAAAAGTTAATTTCTATTTTATTTTCTCGGGAAAATTAATTTTCCGGGAAAAATGCCACTAAAATGCTCGAATAATGCTCAATGCTTTTGCCTCACTAAAATGCTCGAAAAAATGCTGGCATAATGTACAAAAGCCTTCACACGACCGGAGCTTATACCGGTTTCCGTAGAATCAAGCATGCCTAGGACTATTGCTACTCCCCGCCTGGACGGGATGCTAGTCGATTGCAGGGTTATAAACATGTTGGTGTTAAAATAGATCAATCATTAATTTGGAGAGATCATGTAGACAAAATTGCTAAGAAATAAAGCTTCTGGAGGGATTAAAGTTCTGAGACGTGTAAGACATCTCATACCTTATCATACATTAATTACGATGTTTAAATCCATTGTACTACCGTATTTCGATTATTTTAGTATAGTGTGGGGGAGCGGTGGGGAAGGGAAACGTAACAGACTCCAGACCCTTCAAAACAGAGCTGCCAGGGTGGTAACTTCCTCTAGTTACCATAGGCGATCAGTTGAGATACTGGATGAACTTGGCTGGGATAATCTTGAGACACGAAGGTCAAGGCAATTAACCACACTAATGTAATATATAGATTTAGCCAGGGCTAAAAGCGAAGCTCCCATTAATAAATTTATGATTTAAATCAAACAATAAACTTGTAATCCACAAATCAGTTAACTTAAGCGCACATATGTGACTTTTTAGGGAAAGCTAAGGCTAAGTGATTTTAGAGTGAAAAAAAATCTTTCATCGAATTGATAGCCGGTATATATACACCCAAAAAATAGCAATCATCGTCGATCACATTTAAGAGCCATAATAGCTCTTGATCACAGTAGATTAGGCCTGGAAAACGAATTCATGGAAAAAACAAATCAGGCCGAATTTTTTGCGTTCGACAAGTCTACTTAAAAAAATCTTGCCAACAACTCTGGGAGCGTGTAAACCAACATTTCATACTTTTTATGTATCACATCTGAGGTGAAACAGTAATATGAGGCGCTGTTTTTATCATACAGACCTCAGACAAAATGCAGTATTTCACAATTTTTCAAGACAAATTGCACTCATTCAATATTCAGAACCGTACGAAGCACGCGTGGGCTTTTAGCAAAACCGTTCAAAAAATTTCCAAAATCACCTATACGGCCAGCCAGTTGTCACTTTTGACAAGCGCCAAATTTTCAGTGAACATTAAAAGAGTTACGCTTCAACATAATAAAGAATTTATTTTTTTATTATTTTTATTTAATGGTTTTATAACGATGTACAAACGCGCGCATTTTGAGTACTCCTGCAAGCGTTGTCTGTGAACGACTGAAAACAAACAGCAAAGCAATTGCAAGAGACTACTAACAATCAATAAAAGAAATGTAATTCGGTGAAACATTTACAGAGACAACAATTTTCATTCACGAAGACAAGTATTAAAGCGTCTCTAAAAATCCTGAGTCTTTACGCTTAAGCCTAAAGCTTTTAGCCGGCTTCCTGGTGTTTACTGTTTTCAGAGATGAACTCGAGGCAAGAAAATCGCTCAAAGCTTTCTTTCTACAGCCAAAATTATAACTAAATACTCTTCGGAACGTTTTTTCATTCTATATGCGGAGAGAAAATATCGACTAAAGGCTTTTTAAAGCTCTGTAAGCTTATATATACTAGATCAGATCATTGTCTCAGATCTTAATACAAACGTGCATAAATTAGCCTCATAAACTGCGCTCGACTTCATGAAATTAGATATAAAAAAACAAACATACACTGTATACAATAATTACTCAGGCTTACCATTCGAGATGCAGCTCTTGAAAGCTATCAAGTAAGGCCAGAATCGCTTGAGGGACTTTTCAACCCCGCATCCAGCAAGGTGAAAAACGAAAACGATGCATCCGAAATCGGATTTCCAACTTTGACAACCGGCGCATTTCCCAACCAAAAATTCAATAAACAAACCAGCCATGAATCAAAGAAGACTGTTGATAGCAGTTGTATTTCATTTTAAGCAACCAGTGGGAAAAGACAGTAAAAAACATCACAAGTTGACAAAATAATCTGTCAGCTTCAGCTGTCAAAGTAAACAAGGTTCAAGATGCTGTATAAATTTTCTGCATGAACTCACCTGTCAAATTTTGACCAATCAGAGCATAAAAATTGGGCGGTCGTAGAGCGTGATCAACGCGTGACTATGGTGAGAAAAGTGAAAAACCTCTGTCTTCCCTGCTTGTATTTTTAAATGATTGGCTGAATTTTCGCGTCCGAGATCAGTTTGAAATCAAAATTTTAATAACGCGGGGCCATAGTGACATTAACACAACACTTTCTGTCATCATGTTATTATGTTGCTGCCGTTCTCTTTGCCTTTCTATTTCTCTTTCGCGTTGCCTTTGTCTGTTCATTCTAGCTCTGTCTCGTTCTGCTTGCCGGCGTTTTTCACTATAATTTTTTTCTCCTTCTTCTCGCTCTGACTCTTTCTACTTGCCGACTTTCTTCGCTAAAATGTTGTCTTCTTCTTCTACTTCTAACGCGCTCTCTTTGGCGATCGTCTTCGCTTGTTCTACGCGTGTTGACTCTTGCTCTCTGCCGTTCACCCTCTCTTTGCTCTCTGCTTAAAACCTGTCATCTACACGCTAAAATCTCTCTGCTGTTGTTTGTTGACATAATAGCTTTCGTTAGTTGTAATAAAAAGTTATTAAGGCTCTGTCGAAAAATATTTTTGCTAAGTTGCTTTGAAATTTCTTTTTTCAAAACCAGGTGCGCGATATAATTGCGCGACGTTGCGCCATGCGATTTCCCGCCAAAAAAATCTTTACTTTCCCCTACCCCAAGAGTCCATGCGGACTACTTTCCACTACCCGGAAAGTCCGTACGGACGGTCGTACGCTGACGTCATAACCAAAATTTCTCGGATGGGTAGTTTCTCTTAGTTATGGTGCTCCGCTCGCGCGCGCTTCGCGCGCGCAAGGAGCTCCGCTATAAATTGAAAAATCACATTGAATCAGATCATTTGGCTCAAATTTTTAATAGTACAAACTCTACATGATGTACTCCTTTAATCTAAGGAACATAATTTGTTTGTACCAAGACTGTATACTGAGGCTGAAAAAAATAGCTTTCACTATAAAAGGGCGGTCCTCTGGAATAGTCTATGAATTAATTGAAACTGTCCAGCCTGAGATGAGTCAATTTATGAATAATATGCATCGGATTATATGTAATTTTAGCCAAAACTCCTTTAAAAAGCCTATTTCAATTAAAAAATAACCGGTCCGGCCTTAAGACTAGTACGTTTTACTTTATAAGTTAATACACTATAGGACATTATAAAAAGACTCTCACTAAGTAGGTAGAATGACATATTTTTTAAAAACCTAACTAATTTTACTATAACCTATATATATTACTTAATATACCAAAATAGAGGCAGTGGCCTTGGTTATGTATTAACACACAATGGTAAAAAAAAAAATACTCTGGTAAGTTACTTCTACTATATTAAAATACTGACATAGTATGATAGGAATTGGTGTTCCCCAGCGACGAGGCGTAATTAGAGGCTTCTGTATTCGCAAGCTAGATAAGGATTGCTGTCATTCAGAAATTAGTCTTCAACATTAACAACTTGTCAATGAAAGAGTTATTCGAGGCTGAAAATATTTACAGATTGATAAAAGCGCACCAGAAACAGGAACAATTCTTAAAAAAACAAACTCGATTAGAAAAGTCTTTGACTAAGTTCTGTGGTAAGAAATATCTTAAAAAAGGATTGATCCTATACGAATAAATTCTACTCAGTATGAAACCTGAAACTGAATATTTTCAAAGACTGTAGGCAAGGAACAGCTGGAGCAAAAATTGTTCTTAACCTCTAAATGCTAATGAAATTGCTAAAAAAAATTTTGACCTGTATACTAACAGACGTTAAAACCGAGTGTTCACACACGCTACAGTCACAGTCATAATCATCAGCGACATCACTCAAACAGAGAGAAACTAGGTAATCATTAGTACGCGTATTTTCCAAGGATTTTACAACAACAGGGTCTAATGGTGGAGTATTTACAGGGGACTGCAGGCAAGGTGCTGACCCTAAAAACCAAGTTCTATTAATTTATCTAAGAAATTCGTGCTTGCGTGATTAGCGCGCGAAAAGCAAAACATCTTGACGCCACAACCATGTTTACATACCCTCATGCAAACACTCCTCTCAGCCAATCATAGCGCGCGTACGATGGTAGTTATTTTATAAGTTATCTTAGCCAAAAATCCTTTAAAAACCCGATTTCAATTACAAAATGATCGGTCCGGCGCCCTAAAACTAGTAAGGTTTAATTGATAAGTTAATACAATATAGCAAATTATAAAGACTCTAACCAACTAGGTAGAATGACGTAACCTTTTAAAACCTAACTACTTTTACGAGAATGGTAAAAAAAACACAGGTAATTTCTAGTATATTAAAACATGATTCAAAGAAGGAGAAAGTAGGTAATCATTAGTACGCACATTTTCCACGGATTTTTACAACAACAGGCTCTATAAATGGTGGAGTATTTACAGGGGACTGCCGGCAAGGTGCTGGCCCTAAAAACCAAGTTTTATTAAGAACACTACAGTAATTTATCTAAGAAATTGAGGGGGCTGTATGAATTTTTTTAGGCAGAAAATATTTTGTTATGAATACTTAGTCTATTGAAATGGCTAATTGTGCCGTCATAAGAAAATTGGCGGATAAAAAAACTGTACATGTGAAAAAATAGACGTCTTGTTTCTGGCCAACATCTTACAAATAAGGAACCACAATATTAATGGTTCAGTCAGTTGTTCCACTCAAATGTCTTCCATTTAATATTGCAAGGTCGTAACTCTTGTATCGCAGTATAATCAGCTATCTTTCCCTCCTATCTGTGGAATAAGGCTAACATAGTGAAGCTCGTGCAGGTGACCCAGCACGAGCCGGTTGCTCCCAGTAACATCAAACTCTGGGCAGACCATTACGTCATAGCGATGTGGAAGACTGCTAATCACATGGATGCACGTTCGAAAACAGTTTGCCGCGCCGTGTAAAACAACGTGATCTCCCCATGTACCATCTGCCATCATACTTGTGAGGTAGGCATCCCAAGATGGATATCCATCAACAAAATGAAACAGTTCTGTCCCATCCGGCTGTAAGAAAGAAAATACTGTAGTTAATAGAGAAAAAGGTAGAGTGCTCTTGTAGAAGGTATATATATTCAGGCAGCTGCGCTGTCAGCTCCCTCTAAGACGACATCATTAGTATCGGCACTAGAAATAATGTGTCCACCTCAGTAGTATTAAGGACACACCAGTTACACGTCTTTTTTTGAAGTGCAATATATTAGCGTCGATGACGTCTTTATCTCCTTTGCGCGCCAAGAATCATTGAACCGGAACCAGAACAAAATGGCTACGTTCACACAATACCAGATAAGCTTTGGTGACGACACGAAAAGCCATCCAGTATAGTGTGAACATCTATCCGATATGTGACTCNAACGTGATCTCCCCATGTACCATCTGCCATCATACTTGTGAGGTAGGCATCCCAAGATGGATATCCATCAACAAAATGAAACAGTTCTGTCCCATCCGGCTGTAAGAAAGAAAATACTGTAGTTAATAGAGAAAAAGG